ATTCCCGATCGTAATAAACCAATAATATTCTAGATTGCTCAGCCAATAATATTTTAGATCGCTAAGCCAGTAATATGATAGTTTGTTTAGCCAATAATATTCCCGATCGTAATAAAACAGTAATATTCTAGATTGCTCAGCCAATAATTTTCCATTGAGAATTAACTTTGCTTTACTAATAGTTATTCAAGAATATCGAGTTAATATCGATTCTTAATTATAGTTAGTAGGTTGATAATTGAGTGGTTTTCATAAACTCGTGAAATATATTTTAGCTTATTTAGCACTACTTCACTGTTTTTCTGACTATTAATTTTAATTACTAGTAGTACGATTTGTTTCTTGGGTTCATGAAAACCACTGTATTCATAATTTCGCCCATACTGTTGGTTTTATTTTGTTTCCTGTTTTTTGTTTTTTGTTTTTTGTTGTTTTTTTTTGCCAACCCAGTTAAAATAGCACTGATACGAATAACATACTATATTACGCTCCAAAATTAACTGATAAAATGCGTCTTCCATCGACAGCATACAAAAGAAACGCCAACCCATGTCCACCAGGATGTCCCTCAACTTGTGCCCCAGCTTGTGCCGTATCTTGTTGTCTACCTCCCCCACCCCCACCACCACCTCCACCACCACCACCACCACCACCACCAGAGCCAGCACGTCCAGGACCTCCAGGACCTTCCGGTAGAATGGGACCCCCAGGACCCGTTGGACCCATCGGACCTATGGGAGAAGCCGGACCACCAGGAATTCCAGGACCTCAAGGACCACCCGGACCTCCAGGAGAGCCCGCTCCACCACCACCACCACCTCCCCCATGCCCACCCGTATGCGCACACACCTGCGTCAGCTCCTGCCCAGCTGGATGTTGCCAAGGGGGTAGATAAGCTCCATACTCGTAGCTACGCGGTGCCAACACCTTTCACCGCATTTTAAAAGTAGCAAATTGTTTTTCGAAATCAATGTCGTTTAGTTTTGTACAAACAGCGATCGATAAGCAAGGAGGAGGACGATGGAAATCAAGATGATTTGTGAATTTTATTTTCATTCAACAATTGTACGCTTAAAATTGGAGTTTATTTTTCACTATTCTTAATTAATATCCTTCTGTGGCCACAGATTTTGGAGTTTCAAATGTGTAGGTTTGATTTCTTTTCATACTGAAACGCGCTGATAATCCTTTGAACGAATCAAGTTAACGAGTATAGACATCTTTTGTTATGTTAGACTATCGTGTGCACTTTGTATTAAAAAACACATTACACCAAAATACTGACTCGCTTCTTTACTGACGCTACAACTGGTGGATGACGGGTGTTGGCGGGTGGGGTAGCGGTTAACCAAAATAAGAAAAGAATAAACAAGGCAAAATGAGTCTGAGTAAAAAAGAAACTCAAGCGATAGTTGTTCCACTGACAACCTTTTAAGCGACACCAAGCAAAAAAAGCGAATCCCCCCCCCCCCCCCCAGAGAAACGAAATTCAGTTTTTCCCCGAGAAAAATATACTGGAAGAAACCGAAATCAAAACTTTTAAAACTGTTTTTTTCAGGATTTGAAAATGAAAGTGAACATTACTGATTGCTACAAATCTGTAGGGGGATATATTGAAAGTCTAAAATATTTTAAACGCAAATCATATAACACTAGTTTATGGCTTAAGTTTTCAACTTTAAGAAGGCAAAACATTAACCAAGAATGTAAAGAAATAGAAATTAAAAGTTTATACGGAAAGATATTTAGGAAGTCAACACTACTTTAAAGTCATTCACGTCGTTAGAGGGTAGGCCAATATTCCTCTTTACCTTGGGTGGAACGTTTTGCCCATTTCAGACCACGTGTCATTCCCTAGAGTATCATTTCTTTGTTTAAGGTTCTGCGCTCGGTTGCACATGAGAAGACACATGAATATGGATTCAACTCAAACAAAGAATCTTATTTTCTAGGAATGACACGTGGACCAAAATGGGAAAACATTACGCTAAACGTAAAGAGGTCTGTATACACATTAAGCCACAGGACGAAATGCGAGCTTGTAGCATGTAAACCCATTTTTAAAGAAACTTAAGATTTTTATCGATACCCTGAAGCGGGCTCTGGGCTTATCAAGGGCACGGCAAACTCACAGATCGAATTGGAATTTAGAATCAAAGCAACTATAGGCTAAGCCAATCTGGATTCCGATGTTTATGTAATCGAAAGTGAAGTGCGAATATCTGGTTTTCGTTTCCGGTCCTCACATCAAAAATCAAGGTCACTGATTACATTTCACTAACTTTATATTTGTTTTATTTTTTTCCCCATCACATTTTTCTATTTCATGTTAAGAACATCTAGTATTATTGGTTATCTAGATCATAGATATATTTTGTCATTCTATGTGATTTTTCTATTAAAAAAAATTAATTCTCCTTATAAAGATACGGGAAAAAAAGAACAAAAAAAGACCGGACAGACAGACAGACTTATCTGAAGAAAGTCCTTGGATAGTAGGGTGACTACTGGGCTGATTACTGGACCTTCAGACTCTTGAGCTTTGAAAGGAGGATTTCGTTCTTCCGACATTCCTAATAATATGTAGAATAATAAATTATTGAATGGACGAATGAATTAAAAACGTTAAATTGACTTATTAAAAAAAATGAATGAATGAATGAATGGACGGACGGACGGATGGATGGTGGATGGATGGATGGATAAACAAATAACTGAATGAATGAATAAAAAATGACATGAATTACTTGCAAATAAATGACATATTAATTATATGAACGAACGATTAAACAATAGACGACTTGCACTAACAGGTCACGTGACCCTACCTCCCTTAAAACAAGCAGTTGGGTGAAAACGAACTTTAGAAATAAAAAGAGCAGCACAATATTATTAAGGGCGACGTTTCAGATCATAATGTTGACAATAGGATAAATGGCATTAAATATAAAATGGAATATTTATAAGGATTTGTATGGGAAAATGTCCACATCCTTATGAAATATCCCATTTTATATTAATTGCCATTTTTCCTGTTTCGCTTGTTATGAGCTAAAACTCCGCCACCCTTGTAAAATAGAGGTGCTTTTTTCATTCCTGATGTTCATTATGACACAGCTGCTCGTGTTATGGGAAGTAGGGTCACGTGACCTGCTAGTGCAAGTCGTCTATTGAACGAATAAATAAATTAGTTTCCCCTTCATAAAAAGACAAGACAAAGACTGATAAGAGAAGAGAAACAACTGTGGAAGACCGGTGATTATTAAAGAATCTTAGTCAACTACAATACGATAGGGGCGAAGTGCATTGTAGACGACTGGAATTCTTAAATTAATGTTGCCAAATTCGTCTTGGTGCAACAGGCTGTGTCCGAACGACCCCATTTATGGAATGGTGAACGAAAGATGTTTATACTAAGCTAGACCTTAATGCAATATTTTCGCCGTCTCACAAAAGGGGTATGTTTTTCTATGTCAGACCACGTGCCATTCCCTAGAGTATCATTTCTTTGTTTAAGGGTTGCGCATGATGAGACGCATGAATATGGATACAACTCAAACAAAGAAGTATCTTATTCTCTAGGGAATTACAAGTGGTCTGAAATGGGTAAACATTGCACCAAGTACAATTAGGACTATTTGTAACACGACAAGACGTTGACTCACCTCTGTAAAATCTCTGACAGTCTTGTAATAGAGACGCTGTTTGTCCAGTAGGTCAAGGTACTCGTCATTCAGGGCGTCACGTCGTTGCTTTTCGCTCGCCCTTTTCTTCTCAACCTATAAACAAAACCAAACATCTTTTTTCTATATCCTAAAAAAACCCTTAAAGCTGATCTAAGTCAGAAGATGGCTAACCCACAGGTTGAAATGGAATTTAACGTGTTAGGTTTTGAGGGGAGAGGAGAACCAATGAGCTTGGACAACAACTCTCCAATCAACGGAGAGATCTAACAAACTCTATTCGCATGTGATGCCGAGATCAGAAATCAACCCRAGACTAAGAAGCGAGAGATGAGTGGACTACCTCTGCGCCACTCTTGACTTGAAAAATATTTTTTCCCAAAAATACATTGCTTCCTAGCAACCGAACTAGAACCGAAGAGAAATCGATTGAGGATACTGAACGAAATCTCCTGGATAAAAGCAGAGGAAGGCAGTGTACAGAATTATCTTTGACTTGCCTTTTCTTTGTTCGTGATGACACCTTTGACAATTTGATCAAACTGATTAAGGAACTGTTCCTTGTTAGCAGGAGAAGACATGGCTCTGCCAATGGGGAAAAAAAAATAATGCTAAATATATTTTAATACTATCAAAATTATATGTACTTATTGACTGAGAGGGCCGTACGGGAAAATATGCTCGAGGTGACGCCGTACGGACCGAGCGCAGCGAGGTCCGTACAAATGACCGAGAGCCAAATATTTTCCCGTACGGCCCGACTTAACTCAGTCAATAAGCATTTTATCATATGACCCTTAATAAAAAAGATATTTTAAAAGTTGCAAATTATGTCAATATGGTTGCAGGTTTCGAGCAGGCCCGTACGGATTCCTGCTCGCTCAAAGCCGTACGGCCCTGCTCACGCCATTTTCCCGAAGGTTTTTCTAAGAGCGCGCGCCCGGGCAGATACGGGTCATATGATCATTATTATTATCATCATCATCATCATCATCATAAGTATAAAAAATATTAAATGGGTTCCCTGATACTAATATAACCTCTACCACCTTCTAAACTCTGAACGGACTCAACTCGGATCTGTTGTATTGCTACCACAGGGACCCCAATCAGTAAAGAATCCTGGGTTCATGGTGAGGATTCTAAATGGAACTTACTGTTCAAAGTTTTCGTTTATAGAGTTGAGTAGATTAACCTGAAAGACAAATTATACTCATTATCAGTAAATATTGACACAAACGCAGTACTTTGGGAAGCGCTACAATGGTTTTACCATGTCGCTTTTCAGTATCGAAAAGTAGAAGTCTATTTTTGCGGATTTTAACTTACCTCTTTTCCCAGATAAAGTTTAGTGTCATCAAGAGTGTTATAAAGAGTAAAGAACTGCTTGGTTTCTTTATGAGTTGCAGCAACTAAGCGAATAAAAATATACATTGCCTTCAGGGAAGGGGTCATTACAACAATTATAAGTAAGAGCTAAATGCACATAAAAGCTCTTTCTTCGGGTAACGGATACAGTTTATGTAATTCAATAGAAACAACAAAAGGCCCCCAAGTAATACAAGAGAACAAAGCTATCAAAGAATACAATAAGTTTGCGGTACATGCAGAAGGACCCCAGCTAAATCTTCAGCCTGCATGTATGTTTAACGCCAGCAACGCCTTTTTACGTGATCATCTGAGCACCAGTGAGGTCGCTAGATAAGTTACTTTATTTAAAGAGGATGACACACGACAGCTTATACCGATGACCTTGTGGCTCTAACCATTTGCAGACTGATTTAACCTGCTGGTAGCACCTTCTACTCAAATATCTTGTGATCTAGATTTGTATATCGGCAGAGAAAGGATGTGAATAAGTCTATTCCCCCTTGGACTACTATTAATTGTTCCTGGACCATACTTTCGTCAGTTCATGAAGATTACGGAATAAGAGTAACGTTGGAGAGCTAACCTTGGTTATAAAGCTCGACAAAGCGACGTTGGTACTGCGTGAGTTCAGCTCGTGAAGGTACTTCATCGATCTTTCTCTGCAGTGCTGCTATCTCTCTGTTCTTGCGTGCCTGGGATATAAACCGTTCAGTAATCAGATATACTTGCGGTATCCTATCTAGAATTTCTGGGTCTTTCTTGAAGTAGAAAGCTTTAGTATTGTTTGGCTCCAAATTCATTATCCTTGGTTATTGTCAGGGGCGGATCCAGGTATTTCAGAAAGGGGGGGCCGTTCAGTCCTGTATCCATCGACCGCCGGAGGCGGGAGCAACTAGGGGGCTCCGGGGCATGTTCCCCCGGAAAATTTTGAAATTGAGATCCTAAGAAATGCGTTTTCCAGCATTTTGAGGGATTTTGACTAGGATTTTTTTCTATACTTTCTTTTTGCTCTCCGCTTTTTGTCCCTTTTTTATTCAGCAAAAGGGGGGGCCGCGGTCCATTCGGCCCTCCCCTAAATCCGCCCCTGATTGTTTTATTGTCTTCATGCTTTAAGTACCTCGCAACACTTAGAAAGAGCCAAATTTCTTAAAATCATTCTAATATTTTGCGTTGGTTGTCTGCGGCGCAACGCCATCTCTGAGGGACCGCGGAGAAGGAGGGGCTTATAGGTTAAAGCTCCGTCCCCCCAACAAACACACACACACACACAGTTTTTTTAAATGTCTCTGCTTCGCATTTCCCAGTCCTACGGCATAGTGCTATACACTGTATACAAAGCATACAGCTTAGAGATGTCAAAATTAAAAACTTGATTCTCTCCTCCCTGCCCGCAACGAAAAGTTCGAATTAGTATTTTGGAGGATAAAAGAAAGCTGAGATCGCAGAAGTGTAACTGAAAATTAGTTAGTTATACCTAAGATCAATCTATCATATTGAAAAGTGTGGGGATAAATATAGTTTTAGGGCAAGGAAATAGAAGCCAAGTTGAAGTCTGATCCCTACCCTTTAAAATCGTGATTTCTAATATCATTACAATTATCATACGCCAACTCCTACGACTTACCAATAACAATCGAATGTTTTGAAGTTTCGCTTTATCAGCTTCGTACTGCTTTTCGATTCTCTCCATTCGCTCCTGAGGAAAATGAAAATGTTATACAACGTTATGATCTGTCAACATGGAGATCAGCCAATCTAGTAGACAATGTTTTCAAGTCGCTAGCAATGCCGGGCTGAAATTCACATGGAATAGAAAATGGTTAGGTCATAGGGTAAGAAGAGAAGAGAAGAGAAAAGAAGATAGTTAGCAAATGGAAGAAAAGGGAAAGAATAAGGGAGTAAAGTAAAGGAAGGAATGAAGGAAGAAAATATGCACCAACATGTAAGAAAGAGTAAAGCAAAGTTAAGCAACCACTTCTATAAAAAAAAACAATCTAAGCATGCGTGCAATTAAAGAATGGCAGTATTTGCTGTACAACACAGAAAAAATAACCTTGTACCATCAATGTCAGGCCCAGAGAATAGGTGATTTACACTTTACAATTAGATTTAATCTACTGTGAGAGGCTTCTTAAAAATACGTTAATATACGGGGGGGACACACCTTCTCTTCACTGTCTTCTTCACCTTCTTCTGATTTCAACTTGTTAATGTTCTCCTGGAGACGAGTCATCTCTTCCTGTAGAACAATCACACTTCTGCTTTAGTAATTATCTTTCACAGGGATCCCAACTTTGCAAGTAAAGTGGCCGGAGTAGTTGGTTATAAAAACAACAAGGAAAGGAGAAGAAATAAAGTCTGATGGGAGCCCTGGTTAAACATTACCTTGCAATGTGCTCTGAACTGCTGCTCTTGTTTCTTGAGGTTTTCATTCATGGCAACAAGAGAACGAAGCCTATCAAGGATTCTATGAATGTATAAAAACTTCTATCAGTAAAAACATTAAGCACGGGCATCTTTTTCATTGGTGATCCTTATACGATATATATCTCTGCTACTCAACACTTACACCGCATTCTCTCCTTTCTCCATCTCTGATAGCTTGGCCATTTCTTCATCTATTCTGTCACTTCTCGCCGTAACCTGTCATCAAATACTAATCTTTAGATGTGTCTTGTACGGTCATTGAAAAATCCCATGCAATCTTCAATCCTACCCACTGCATTTGGTAGTTTTGCCCAATTTGTTTTCCTAATCCACCAGGCTTCACAGATAGTACTCTATCTCACACTAAGGACTACTCTGACCAGTTACCCCTTCGAATGACAGCCACAGTGTGAAACAAGCTATGGGCTCGTCAAAGTCGAGACACGGCTAAATAACTTACTGATTGAATTACAAATTAGCTTGGAAATGTTAGGTTTTGTGGATAAAAAACTGAAGAACCTCTGGAACCTAGGGTAATAAGAGTCCTTCTTGGCCAGGGTAAAGTCTTGGACCAATTCTTTTGTATATCCGTGATCAGACGTGTTCAGTTTACCACTGAATCATACCATCTAAAGCAGATATAAGACTGTATAAAAAGGTTGTAAGTTGCTGTAAATCCAGCCAGATAGAGTGTACAGTACCTGTCTTCCTGATACGTACACAGGTTTATATTATTATAATTTGATTATTTTTACCTGGTTCAGTTGTTCGTGTGATTCATCTAGTGACACCTGAAGTTGATTTTGCTTTTCGGTGATCTACAAGAAAATTTTAACAAAAAATAAACCTTTTTATTTCACTCGCCTTTTATTTCGTTTCCTTCGTGCTATTCCCCTTGGTAAGCGGTTGTAACCGGAAGTGCAAGTATTTAAATTCTAGTTTGCAATGGAAACAAATTAGGCCCCGTCCACACGTATCCAGAAATTTTTGTATCCGCAATTTTTTTTTTTTGCGGATACGAAAATGTTTGCGTCCACAGGCAGCGTATTCGAATCGTTTTCACCGTCCACACGTATCCGTTTTCGTAAAATTTGCGGATACGGATACAAAAATTTGCAGGCACGTGTGGACGCAACCCGTATCTGCAAAAAAAAAATTGCGGATACAAAAATTTCCGCATACGTGTGGACGGGGCCTTATAGCGAACAAGACTAGGAGCAAGTCTAGCCTTGCTTGGTCTGAATCGATATTGTCGCGCCATAAGGCCAAGATTAGGAGTAACGTAGCACGCGTCACGCAACTATGTTTGTTTATGGGGCCGGACCCTTAAGGCCCCGTCCACACGCATCCGCAAACTTTTGTATCCGCAATTTTTGTATCCGCAATTTTTTTTTACGGATACGGGTTTCGTCCACACGTGTCCGCAAATTTTTGTGTCCGTATCCGCAAATTTTACGAAAACGGATACGTGTGGACGGTGAAAACGWTTCGAATACGCTGCGTGTGGACGCAAACATTTTCGTATCCGCAAAAAATAATTTGCGGATACAAAAATTTACGGATACGTGTGGAAGGGGCCTAAGAAATGTTGTTTCTAATAATCACACTAAAATACAATCATCATGCACATACATGGTTAAAAGAGTATCCTCCCTGGTTGAAAATATCATATATATGCAACATCTCGACGCTTTTTATGACCATTGTACAAGTTTCAAGTTTCAAGTGACTAATTGCAATAGGACGTTCGCATGATGGCGTCATTGAGCTCTACTACCAGACTCCCTTGCACACTTTCTTTTGTTCAGTTAAAATTCGCGAAGCATTATGGTAGTGGGAGTCAAATGACACCATCATGCAAACGTCCTATTTCACCACTATTATTAGTAGATATTTCCTGTGGATCACCATTGCAAGTCGTTCGCAGCGCCGTTGTTTCACAGCTGATGATGGAGCAAACGGATAACAAAAGGTGTTTCTTACTCACTCCCTCAAAAGCCTGAGCAAACGCTCCAAGAGTGTCTAAGTGCTTAGGCACTAAATTTGACATTAATGTACCAGAATAAGTGTGCCAGAGAATGGGATGGGTACCATTTCCAGGGAATGAAGTCTCCAGTACCAACCTGTTCAAGTTTCTTTTCTTGCAGAGCAATTTGCTTCTCAAGTGAAGCAACCATCCTCTTATGAGCTTGAACACCTCCAACTCTTTCTCCTCTCCCTTCTATTCCTTCCTGGAGCTCTGCTTGCTGTAAAATCAGAAAGCAAACCCAAAAATTAATAGACCATTTTCGAGTTCCAAATTACCGCTGTGTTCCTTAGTAACAGACTCATTTACTCAGGGTTAGACTCGAATCAGTGTCTAAATATTGCACAAACAACAACGGTAATGCAAAAAATGCGCAACTTCAACAATACAAACACTCTGAAATTCTACAGAATTTCACTGGATCACATGAATATTCTACACAAATCGAGGCTTACCCTGCTATGGCACAGTGCCTCGTACTGAAACTACTCTATTGTTTGTACTTTGAAACCCTGTCAACTCCTCATTTTCAATACTTCAAGCCTGGGTTAATGCGTTAAGCCTGGACTGAACAGCAAATACGAGTTGAGACTTTTGATATGCTGTCGAAACGCTTTCTTCTTCTTTACTTACTCTCTCGGCATACTCAGATGCCATCTGTGAGATCTGTTCAGACTGCAAATCCACAATAGAGCCAACAGCACTTGATGACAGTGCTCCCTGAAAAACAAAACACGTCAGTTCCACCTTAGACATGTATCGGTATAGGAAAACATAACAGCAAAGGCTCCATTAACACAGACTTCCATCAATTCAAGAAACATAGGAAGCATGGGTGGAGTAATGGTGACAACATTTGGGGTTGATTCCCAAACTTCATGTGGGAATAGAGTTATTTGTTGGTTCTCTCCTGTGCTTAGAGGGATTTTCTTCAGGTTCTCTGGTTTTTCTCCCTGCGCAAAAACCAACTTCTGAATTTCAACAGGAATCCGTGATCAAAGAGCAGCTCTGCAAAGATGGCATTGCTAAATAGCAATATATTTTTTATTAATGTTTTATTTGCCAGTGGGTCTCCTTAGGTGAAGAGTTCTCCCATTCTAGATTATACCCATTGTCATAAATAATGTGAACAAAAAACTACTAGATATGATTTTAAACACCTTGCTTTTTGGCATCCGTTAATCAATTTTGAAAGAATATGTGCACAAGCACGAATCTCTAGCAAAAAGCATGATGGGAAACCTAGTACTACCTAGTACGTACACACAAATTAGAACAAAGAAATCAATAGAATTATCACAAAAAAATTACTCTGTTATTTTCGTCTGTCAAAATACTTACACTTTCATATAAAATGTCAAATAAAAAATTGTCAGAGGAATTTTTAGAGGAGCTGAAAAACCACAATTACTTGGTTTTGTGCTAGAGATTTGTGCTGGTGCCCATATTGGCTATTAGTTTTTCTTGATCAATGAAAACATTTTCCAATCCATTGGTTGAAATATGATTAAGAAAATGGATTGAATTTTTCATTCTTACCTCTTTTCCTTCCATGGCTGACATTCCTTTCAACAATGATGACAGACGTTTCTATGAGACAAAAACAACATGAATCAAACAAACTAGATCAATTATATTATAGACAACAAAAACAACACTGTTTATGCTTCAAATCAATATCTTGATAGATACCATGGACCAAAATTACAGCAGCGGTGCAGCTCAACAGGGCTGAACTGGAAGCAATGTGAAGGCAGTACTGTACCTCCAGCAGCCTCTGTACAGTCCCCAGAGCACAGCACAGGGTTGATTTTAAATATGCCAAAAATAACCCAGCTCAACTATTTTATCAACTACACACTAACGCTATTAATAATACAGCTTCTCATTAATCCCATATAGGTAACTGTCCAATTATTTTCTTAATTGGACAGGTCTCATTGATATGGGATTAATGAGGCAGCTATATAATTAATATGTAATGGAATTTCATGCTCCCCAATCAAGAAATAATTAGACTCGAAAAATTCCTCTGACTGCCAAATTGGACTTGGCCTACAGCCTCATCCAATTTTGTCAGTCCTGGGAATTTTCCTCATCCAATTATTTCTTAATTGGACAGCATGGAGTCCTGTTACATATACTAATTTTGAACACATTTACTATTTGTTTTAGTAAATGTTTTCTATCTGCTAACACATACCTGCTCAACGAGGTACTCATCTTCTTCTCCCCCAGAAGGTGCCCTCTTCCGACCTGTTGCAGCAGCTGCTGCTTTCTTTTTCTCTTTTTTCTCCTTGTCCTAACATACATAGCAAAAATAAATAAAAACATTTGTTAAACCTGCTACAAAATTATCAGGAAAATTGACAATCGAATGTGATTTGATTTGACAAGTACATGACCATGTTCATGTTATAGTCCAGCTATCTAAGCTACTCAGTGACAGGAGGGTAACTGGTCGTTTCACCTTACAAGTCATTTGGGTAAGTTGTTTTACCCGTGACGTGCTTTGTTCACAATATTCATTTCTCCCACAGTCAAGTGGTTTTGCCTGATGTGTAATATGACAGTTTCATGGAAGGTATTCTATTAACGAAACGAATGTACTTGCCTACAGTATGAGGAGGGAATGCAATAGATTTTTGTGAATTTCACAATAAAGGTAGCGGTCATATACATTAAAGTTAGCTTCTGGCCAGGGGTACTTAGCAATAACTTCCTGTATCATCGCGTAAAAAATATTTATTTTCATAATTAACATAACATTTTGTTCGGAAACATGATAATCCTTAATTAACGACGGTACCCTGTACCTTTTCTCTTTCTTCTTTACTAAAGCCAAATTGCCTGTAAACCAAAAACAACAAAGAAAACAATACTACATGCACTCACTGGATGCACTGACCCATGGTTTTGCATAAGAAATCACACGATCTTCTCACGTGCAATTTAGAATTGATAGGTACGAGCGATGTTTTGAAACGTTTTCAAAATTTGACTTCTAGAAATTGGGAACTTTACTAAAACATCACGAGTATCTATCAATTCTGAATTGTACAAGAAGATGATAACATTGTATTGTAAAATTTCCCTCTTGTGAGTGTTGTCTTAGCAATGTTGCACATAACAATGAAAACAGCAGCAATAATGTTGTTTTTGCTCTAGATATATCCCTTATCTGATGGTAACTTTTCATTTTTTTAATTTTTGCATACTCACCATCCATATTCTAGTAGAGTAGTCCTGACCCTTGTCTCCTCATCTTCAACAGCACTGTCTCCTGGCTTGCGATAGGTTCTCTTTGGCTTGTAGGTATCCTGACCAAAACAAAATTAGCTCAATAATAAGCTGTTATCCCCTGGTAGACCACTAGTGAATAATATTCAATTGATACATCTCACTACGTGTGCTCTGATTGGTTGAGAATTGTAGTGTAATAGTGGAGAATAGAGCATGCCATTCTAAAAAAAGCTATCCGTGTGTGCAGCTGGCTTTGCAAATAAGAAGTGTAAAGAAACATCATTCAAACCTAAAACACATATTTCTTAATTCATATAGAGCTACTGAAACTGGAAAGATATTTCATAGTTTTAAAGCATTACATACTGTACCTTGAGCTCTGTCATGGTTTCCAAGCATTTTGGTTTTTTCATATTGAACTCATCATCCTAAGGAAACCCAACACGATATTTGTTAAACTTTATTAAATTTATTTAAGATCATAGCACTGACAGAGTAGGCCATTCTAGCAGCTGAGCACTGATAGATTAACTTGTTGTTAAGCATGTAATCAAGCTGTATTGACAATCATAGCACCGACAGAGCATTAGGCATTCTAGCAGCTGAGCAAGCACTGATTGATTGACTTGTTGTTAAGCATGCAAACAAGCTGTATCTACAATCATAGCACTGACAGAGTAGGCCATTCTCACGGCTTAGCAAGCACTGATTAACTTGTTGTTGAGCATACTATACAATCAAGCTGTATTATTAGTAGGACATTAATTAGCAGCTGAGCACTGATCAATTTAACTTGTTGATGACCATAAAATCAAGAGTACAGTATAGACCACGCTAAATTTGTTGAATGCAAATCAATCATACATCAATAATTAATACCAACATACTGTACCTTGGGAGTGGTATGAAACTTATTGAACTGGAAAACAGAAAACTCCCTGATGTAGTCTCCCATTTCTTCCTTTCTTTCAATTGCACGTTTAACAAGCCACTGCAAATAGATAACAACACTTACCATGAGGCTAAACAATATTAAAGTTATCAACAAAGAAGCCAATGATACATTTTTAACGTTGGCCCAAATTTTCACCACCAAAACAATTCTTCACTTCGTAAGCATGGTAAAACGTATGGAAACAAAGATTTTGCCAAGGCTGGGATTACGTACTGTGTAGGCCAGGGGGGTGAAATGTAATTTTCTGGGGAAGCGTCATGACTGCTTTGTCATAACTTACAGTAGCAAATAATGCCAAAATCTGAGTTTGACTAGGTCTAATTTACCCCTTCCCTCCCATCAATGGACATATATAATTGTATATGATCCTGGCAAAAAGAAATATTCTTACTTGCTACCCAGACATATATAAGTTATATAATAATAATATAATAATAATAATAATAATAATAATAATAATAACATCTTTATTTATTCTGATAAAAAAAACAATCAACTGGACATATAAAGAACAGCAGCTGTAAACAGGTGATCAGCAGTATAATATATCAGTATACTGTAATATCAGTAAGATCGGTTACTATAACATCAGTTTAATATGTCTTTGGGAATTCAAAATCTTAATGTTAATCCCTGGTTGTTGGCGATTGCAATATTAAAAAATCTGGCCATTCAGAACGAAATGACGCTTAAAATTAATATACATGTAGCATTATTTCGTAATATATAATGATAGGACTTATACAAACCTGCACAACAGGGTAGATGTTGATGAAATCTAATCCTTGGATTTGATGAGGTTCAAGGCGATGAGGACATTTCATACGAGGCAAGACAGCTACAATCTTTTCAGTCAAGGCACTGATAAAATAGAGACATAGAAATGTTATATAAAGTGATTAACAAACAAAACATAAATAAAGCATTGATATATATTAATATAATACATACATCTTCTGGCCAATGGTAGAGTTCTCTTGGAAAAGGAGGTCAACATCAACATCAAAGTCACAGACAGATATGCACCATGTCATTCCTCCAACAACCTAAGGCCAAGCAAACAGTAATGACTTTCACTTTTAAAACACTGTAAAAAGTGTATTGCGGATGGCAAGCGAGCCAGCAAGGCAATTTTGGTCAAATTAAAACTAAAAAAAAAAGCGTATTGCCTGATTGAAATGAACTATTGAAATACTGGAATTGGTTACATGGCAAAACATGATCAACAATTACCAGCTCTGATAACAAAATGAAAAATTGAGTGATAAAGGAGATGTGAAATTTTACCAAAAATATATAGCTGGAACACATACACACCACAAAATATATACATAATTTTATATATTTCCTTCCTCTTAGATCACAATACGTTGAGTGAAAATTTGGCTGCAAGTATTAATTTTGAGGTGCTCTTTTTGATTATATTTTCATCAGAGTTTGTTTGTTGGCCATACTGTTACAGTACTTACTCTGATGAAGGACTAACATCCGAAACATCGGTTTCTAAAGTTTTTTAAGACGATTCAATTTATCCACAAGTTCCTGCTGTTACAGTACCACATAACAAAGTCCAGCAAAGAGCCTATTGCATTATTGCAGCTCATGGATGCTGATACTCTTGATACTCAGAGATCATTACAACTCAGAACCAATGTATTATCATAGCGTAGTAGAGAGGAGAGGTGCTTTTTCAACCTTCATATGCAGGTTAATCATTACAGTACTCCGATAGTTTATTAATAAATGTAATTCACCTTGTCAAAAGATGAGAGACCTTTGATACGAGCTCTGAAGTAACCGGCAGCAAGTAAGAGCTCAATTATCTCTGACAGCTTTATATTTTGTTCATCATCTTCTCTGGTTTCAACCTAATAAGATAATAATGAATAAATCTTTATTATTTTTACAAAATTACATGATGATAAATAGGGGTCCTAGCTGAGCATATCTCTCTACCCAGTGGCTAATAAGCTTACATCACATTCCACACCCGCTACCACTACCACTACCCCTATCCCTTCCACTACCACTACCACTACCACTACCAATACCACTACCATTACCACTACCCGGGAGGGGTTCTACCAACCCAACTTGGGTAGGGGTGTGCCGCCAGGACCTCATAACCCTGCATGACCCTATCCCAGACCTAAAATTTAGATTATACATACATGTACCCTAGCCCAGACTAAAACTAAGAAATATACACCCTATCCCAGACTAAAAGACGGAAAATAGGGTTTTACAATCGATTGCATTCAATATTTACTAACATTTTTATTGTTTTTGGTCGGCAGAAAGCGTAGCCTATTCGCCAGACAAAAACGACCAAATCGTTAACCCTATCCCAGACTAAAATGATACCCTATCCCAGACAAAATGTCAAAAAATGATACCCTACCCCAGACCCAAAAGCCAAAAAACCATACCCTATAGGGCGGCACATACCCGTATAGCAAATATAGGGGAGTACCTCCCCCCAGGTACCACTATCACTACCACTACCACTACCACTAATAAAATTACGTGATGATAAATGGGGGTCCTACATGTAGCTAAGCATATCTCTCTACCCAGTGACTAATTACTTAACCTTGTACGTCACATTCCACACTCACTACAGCTACCACTACTACTACCGCTACCACTACCACTACCGCTACCACTACTAAAAAAATGGTAGCCTCCTACACAGGCATCTCTCTGCGTTTCTCTCACTTTCTTTCCCTAAGTCGTAGCCTACTAGAGAGTTATGAGTGCTAGAGAACACTAGAGTTTGATAGATTTTTTTGCAGATGAAACTAAAAAAGATTTGTAAAATCAGCTTAAAATCTAATACAAATACACAAAAGCAGGAAATGTAGAGAGGGTTGTAGGAAGTGATACATGTATGTACAACTATTATATATAAACCTTGGATGTATTGGGACGCTTCACTGATACCAAGTACCTTTTCTTGGATATAAGGTTTCTAAAATCAAAGTTACTCTTTTCTCTGATGGAAATTAAAGTTATAAACTTTTAAATTGACCATAGTTTTTGGAAGAAAAGTTTGAGAGAGAAGGAACAGTAGCTGGTGCCAGGCACAACTTTCACCTTCTTTTTCACGCGCACAGATATTATTCGTTGAACAAAAACGTCACTAACCTTTCGAACTCGTCCTTGCTCATCCAATTCAGGTTGTGTGAACTTCTCACTAAACGTTTTTACTCCTGCAAATCTCGAAGATTGACCAGACTGTAAAGCAGCCATTTTGTCATGGACGTGACCACAGGCAACCCATGGAAGAGGAAAACGCCTACACAGGCAACCCATAAGAACATGATTTATTAAATCATTTATTTTAGTTTTCATTTACATTGAGAATTAACTTCCTTATAAGCCAATTTTTTCTTTTTTCAATTTTTTAATTGCAAATTTAGTCCAATCCTAAATAGTTTACTGAAAATTTATCTCACTTGTTTTTTTTGCTAGCAGTCATAAATCCGTTATTTGATTTTCCTTAAATTTCGTTCTATAAGATAAACTTATGAAGTAGACACGAAACGGAAGGAGAGGAGATTTCCAAAAATGATTATAAAAACATTAAAAAGATTATAAAAAAATAAAATAATTCAATGTAAAGTTTTAAAGTACTGTTGGGCTTCCTGTGGTTTAGTTTCTTTGGTTACGTCAAACGAGTCAAAACAACATGGCGGAGATGGAGATAAGTAGGTCTCCAAACGAAGATGGCTCAAATGTCGGCTCAAGTCGATCTTTGCCATCGGCAGAGAATCCTACGATTCGTTCTCTTAAATCTGCTGACATTAGGACTTTGGTTTCGCCACCCAGTGGTGGATCATCTGCTACTGGGAGATCTTTATCGCCTGATACGAGATCATCGCCAGCCGCCTTGGAGTTTGAAGAATACAGGTACAYGTAAAATGGCGGTCGATTTGATTATATAGTTTAATACTTGATATCTAATGGAAAAACACTTGTTGAGACTATAAGGCTCCTCAGAGTTGGCATAGAATAACAATCCTCATTATTATCAATGAACGACGGCATACAGGATTTTATGTTCTGGTTGAGATTTAGGAAGGCGACAAATGATTGCTAACGTGAAGTGTACTGTCTATCTATATAGGCCCTCGATAGCAGATAAGGTAAGGATAGGCTTCTTTAGCCAGGACAGATGCTCACAGACAGAATCTAGTGAAATCCTGCCGATGAAAGAAATGCAAGAAGTTATGGCAAAGTTGGTGACGGTAAGTGAATGATCTTATGATCAGTTGCAAATGACTTATGATCAGTTGCAAATGACTTATGATCAGTTGCAAATGACTTATAATCAGTTGCTTAGTAAACTATGAATATGAAAAGCATGCAGCACAAACATGGTCTTAATACGGCAAGGCATATATGAAGGAACATCACATTGCATGAGAATTTACTCTGCATACAATCAAATGTCCAGAACACGGCACAGACACAGCGCTGACAAGAACACAGCAATGCCAGTCCAATGACATTGAGTAAAAAGTAATGAGCCAATTAAATTGCTTGAAAACATCACGAGGACAAAAATGATGACATATATGAAAGGCAAATATTTAATCTAAGGATGACCAGCTCAGCGGTTGTTTTTGTTTCAGCCAGCCAATCACAGTGGGGCAAGGGGTGAAAGGTCAAGGGGGCCCCCTTTGTGGTAACAAAATGGCAGCTTTTTAGATTTGATATGGTAATTTGAT